TTATGAACGAGCATTGGAAATATGCCAAGAAAATGATTCATCTATCACAGTCGATAAGTCTTCTTCACTAGATTGCCAACTCAATAGTGAGCTCAGTCATGATTTTGCATCGTCTCCGATCATTTCATTGAATGCTGGAGAATTATTTGCAGCGTGTTCTCGACGGTTTTTGATTCCAAAATTCCGAAGAACTACTTGTCAATGTCTATCGAAGTGTACATCTAACAAAACTGAACATGTTAGTGAAGAATCTTCCGAAAGAGATTTGCTAGAAATGTGTCAAAACATACATGAAGTCGTCTGGATGCAAGTGGATGACATTAATCCAAGTGATCGTGTACTCATCGCTAGTTGTCTTCGTAGCTATGGAAGAATCTTGCATCGACAAGAAAAAAATGACGAGGCACTTATGTTTCATCGACAAGCACTGACAATTTTCGAAGAATATTATCGATTTCCTCATATCGATATCGCTCTGAGTCTTCTGTGCATTGGACAAATTCTAACAAATAAAAAGATTTATGATAAAGCCCTTGATTTCTGTCAACGAGCGATGTCAATCTATACAAGATATTATCCAAATGACCATGTATATATTGCTTGGTGCCTACATGATATCGGTCACAATTTCTGCGTCACAGGCAAATATGATGAAGCTCTGAAGACATATGAACGAGCGTATGCAATAGTACAAATGTATTATCCATCTGGTCATGTCGATACAGCTGAGAGTCTTTGTGGACTTGGCCATGCTTATCGGGGACAAGAAAAATACGATCAATCTCTAGCATTTTATGAGCAAACGTTGGATATTCTGCAGAAATATTGTTTCTGTGGTCATGATGACATTATTTGTATGCTAAACAACATCGGCTCTTTGCAACATGAAAAAGGAAAACATGATGAAGGACTTAGTTTTCATCAACGAGCATTAGCGATGCAAGAGAAATATTATCCATATAATTATTCAAAAATCGCCTGCACACTCAATTACATTGGTAATATACACTTTAGTCAATCGAAATATGACGAAGCTCTACGCTATTATCAACGAGCGTTAGAGATGCAGAAGAGCTATTATCATCCTTCCAGTGCTGCGTCAATGGCTTCGATTATCCGTAACATCGGTAACATTCTATGTGAGCAAGGAAAATATAATGAGACTATTAATTTTCATCAGCAAGCGCTCGATATTATTGAAAATCACACTCCAATTGATCATTTATCTGTTTCTTTTTCTATGAACAACATCGGCAGCATATTATGCGAACAAGAAAAATATGATGAAGCTATTGAGTTCTATCAATGTTCGTTAGCTATTCGAGAAAAACTGTGTTCATTGAATTATACTGAAGTCGCAAACACTTATACCTAT